TTCGCCTACTCGGTACAGCCACCAGAGGGCGGTAAAACATTTATGAAAATACGGTCAAGAGTAAAATGACAACGTGAAGTGCGAAACTCATCTCATTAGTACTTGTTAAAAAGAGCCCTGTGAGTCACAATCTGACTCTTTGGGCTGAGGACCCTCCTCTCATTTTACATTTCTGTCTGAAAAATGTTTTTTTTAGAGAAAATATCTAATTTATTTTTTATTTTGACTTGTAATGACTGTGCATCCATCACATTATGTTTGTTTTTGTGTAATAACTTTATCACACACTTTGCTTTCCAGCCAGAAGGTCCTGGGTTCATTTCCACAGACGAGTCCTCTCTGTGTGGAGTTTGCATGTTCTCCCCATGTCTGCCTATGTTTCCTCCCATTGCTCCTGTTTCCAACACCGCTAACAACAAACGCAATAGTTCAGTTGCTATGGAAACGTGATTGACTCCAGCACAAATTCATGAACTAAAACTTTGACCCGACTAAGTGAGAAAGTAAAAAGGCCTGGGAGAAGTCGGAACGAGGAACAAGAGAACGTACAAATAAGTAAACAAGTAAATAATGGATCTATGTTTATGTGAACCGTCCACATCTGTGTAAAAGTGCTGCAAAAGACTGGAAATAATTCTTATATTGAATGATTTTAGGCCAAGAATGAGAACAGATTGAAATATACATCAGTTCATTGTGTGTAACTTTTGAAGCCTCTGGGCCAGGACTCACTTGATAAAGAGGTTCTTAATCTCAATGGGACTTTCCTGATTAATTAAAGGTTAAATAAAATAAAAAGGCGCTATTTGAATTGCCTGTGCTCCCAAAATATCTCTAAGGGAGCGCCCAGCCACTCTGCGGAGGAAGCTCATTTCGACCGCTTGTATCCGCGATCTCGTTCTTTCGGTCATTACCCAAAGCTCATGACCATAGGTGAGAGAGCTCTGACTGCAGACACTGCTCCCTCATGACCATAGGTGAGGGAGGGAACGAAGATTGACCGGTAAATCGAGAGCTTTGCCTTTCGGCTCAGCTCCCTCTTCACCACAACGGTCCGATACAGCGACAGCATCACTGCGCACGCTGCACCGATCCGCCTGTCAATCTCACGCTCCATTCTTCCCTCACTCGTGAACAAGACCCCGAGATACTTGAACTCCTCCACTTGAGGAAGGACCTCTCCACCCACCTGTAGAGGGCAAGGCACCTTTTTCCGGTCGAGCACGATGGCCTCAGATTTGGAGGTGCTGATTCTCATCCCAGCCGCTTCACACTCGGCTGCAAACTGTCCCAGAACATGTTGCAGGTCCTGGTTCGTTGGAGCCAACAGGACAACATCGTCCGCAAACAGCAGAGATGAAATCCTGTGGTCCCCGAACCGGACCCCCTCCGGCCCCTGGCTGCGCCTAGAAATTCTGTCCATGAATACAGTGAACAGAACCGGCGACAAAGGGCAGCCCTGGCGGAGGCCAACATGCACCGGGAACAGGTCTGACTTACTGCCGGCAATGCGAACACAGCTCTGGCTCCGGTCATACAGGGACCGAACAGCCCTCAGCAGAGGGACCCCCCAAAGAACACCCCGGGGAACACGGTCGAACGCCTTCTCCAAATCCACAAAGCACATGTGGACAGGTTGGGCAAAATCCCATGAACCCTCGAGTATCCGATGGAGAGTATAGAGCTGGTCCAGTGTTCCGTGACCGAGACGAAAACCACACCTCCTGAATCCGAGATTCGACCATCGGCCGTAGCCTCCTCTCCAGAACCTTGGAGTAGACCTTACCAGGGAGGCTGCCTTTGACATATTTGTCAGAAACTGGTGATTTCTGTCAAACTATTCCACTGAGTAATACAGGAGAACAAAAATAGCTAGAAACAAACTTATTTTGCTGATGAAAGTAGACAATCCAGTCTTTCAGAATCTGGTTTAATATTTATCTCAGCAACTGGTATTCTGAATGTCTTGAGAATCAGGGATATCCTCAAAAACAGCTGGTAGTCAATGAGTTAACATCCCTTTTATTATTCAATATCTGGATCATTAATATGTGGTTTTTAATGATGTGACGAATCATTCATATGACCGTATCCAGTTCATGCCTAATTAACTGTTAACTGTTCATGAAGACCTTCAGGTACTTATTTTCCGATAATGACCTGTGTACTATACATTATCCCGCTTATTATATGGCTTTGCACAAACAGAACACACCAAATAAACTTCAGTCACTCAGTTTTGACATTACATTCAAATCAATGGAGCGTTCTACTGCTGCTGTGAGGAGTTGCGTAATAAATTAGCATTTATGATGTAGACGTCACAAAGCTGTTGATTTGCCAACACAGATCAGAGAATCAAACAGTTCAAGAAATACAACACGTAGAGACATTGGTCCATAAAGGGCACAGACCATAAATGAGTCTGTGCCCCCCCCCCCTCCCACTGCATTCTTTTAACTTGTTTTGTGTATATTCAGCCTGGGGACTTCTGCACATGTGTTCCAATGGGTTTTACTGCAAATGGCAAATAAAATTTATCCAATAAGTGCTTTTATTCTGATAGTATTCACTAGAACATGCAGTACTTTTTCTTCTTTATTATGCTTAAATTTGAGATTTGTATCTCTGGGTGGAGCAGGACGGGTCACAGCAGCAGAGGTGGAGTAGCCTCTGGGTGGAGCAGGACGGGTCACAGCAGCAGAGGTGGAGTAGCCTCTGGGTGGAGCAGGACGGGTCACAGCAGCAGAGGTGGAGTAGCCTCTGGGTGGAGCAGGACAGGTTACAGCAGTGGAGGTGGAGTAGCCTCTGGGTGGAGCAGGACAGGTTACAGCAGTGGAGGTGGAGTAGCCTCTGGGTGGAGCAGGACAGGTCACAGCAGCAGAGGTGGAGTAGCTTCTGGGTGGAGCAGGGCGGGTCACAGCAGCAGAGGTGGAGTAGCTTCTGGGTGGAGCAGGGCGGGTCACAGCAGCAGAGGTGGAGTTGCCTCTGGCTGGCGCAGGACGGGTCACAGCAGCAGAATAAAGTGTCTCCTCATCTCTGTTCTTTTATTTTGACTATCTCTCCGGATCCAGCAGCTCTCCTCTGCGCTTTTATTTTGACAGTAACTCCGGATCAACCTCCGCTCGCTCTTCTGTGCCTTTATTCTGACGGCCCCACCGGAACCATCTCCTTCCAGAGGTGGGACAAAGTCATTGTTTAGCAAGTCACAAGTCAGTCTCAATTCATTGCCCTCAAGTCCCGAGTCAAGTCACGAGTCAAGACAGGCAAGTCCCGAGTCGAGTCCAAGTCAAAGGCCAACAAATCTCAAGTCAGTCCCAAGTCCTACGGTTTGACTTTCGAGTCCTCTCGAGTCTTTTTGACCGCGATTTGTTTCTTGTTGGTCTCCACGTACTTTTGTAGGCAAACAAAATAATGTTAGGAATCATTTTGCTGGTGCATTCTCGTTGGTCTCTGACCCATGGACTAACAGTTTGTTCCATGTCGTTGGCTGCTGATAAATCAAAACTATCTACGTGATCTAATTGGATGTTGTGCCAGATGCAGGCTCAGTTACACATGCACAGACCACACATAAAATCAGAGCAGTCCGTGTCAACATACTTTTTATCTTTGGGGTTTTTAATGGGAAGTAGCAAGTGCAGCATATATGAATATGAGTATTGGGCTAGGACCTGTATCTATATAATCAGTTTAATGTCCGTAGTGGTTATTGTTCCAAATGTCCTACTGTAGAATAGGGGTAGTATGAGGGGTCTAGGCTTTGGACCTGGGGCAGCTCGCCATCAACTGGACCAGCATTAGCAATATCTCATAATTACCAATATATCATTACATAATAAAATGTCTCATATAAATTAATTCAATCAGTCAAAGCACTGATTCTCATATCAATGCACCATAAACAATAGTGCAAATATTAATCTAGCTTAGTGCACATAATCAAAACAACTATCTAATGTATGCAAACTTTAGCAGGAGGAGCACAGCAAAAACATACTCATAATAATAGGCCTCGGCGCCCACACAGAAAAATATAAGAAAGAGCCAACAGAGCAGCGCAGGCTAGCGCTAGTTTGACTCACCAGTTCCTCTTTAAAACACGGCACACAGTGTGACAACTGCGTCGATTCAATTGTATGAGGCGCCTGTAGTGAAAGCATATCAATTACGGTTTGTAGAACAAAATATGACGTTAGGTCGCGATAAATACCTGCAGCTCGCTCATTTCCAGCTCCCCTAGACAACACACCCACCGGTGAATGCAGTCCGCTTGTTTAGGGAAGTGTTGCTGCGCGAACCGCGGGGAACTCACGTTCGAACTCTCTCGCGAGCGCTACAACTACCGCGAGGCTTTGTTTCTTCAGAGACGGCATAGATAGAAAGAGAGATGCGGAGAAAGGTAAAAATGGCCCGGGTTACGCAAGTCTTTACAAGTCAATTGGCGCAAGTCCAAGTGAAAGTCAGAGTCATTGATGTTAAAGTCCAAGTCGAGTTGCAAGTCTTTTTATATTTGGTCAAGTCGAGTCTAAAGTCATCAAAATCATGACTCGAGTCTGACTCGAGTCCAAGTCACATGACTCGAGTCCACACCTCTGTCTCCTTCCATCTGTGCTTTTATTTTGACAGTCTCTCCAGCAACACCAGCTCTTCTATGTGCTCTTACTCTGACAGCCCCACCGGATCCACCTCCCTCTCCTCTGTGCTCTTACTCTGACAGCCCCACCGGATCCACCTCCCTCTCCTCTGTGCTTTTACTCTGACAGCCCCACCGGATCCACCTCCCTCTCCTCTGTGCTCTTACTCTGACAGCCCCACCGGATCCACCTCCGCTCCACCTCTGCCTCCACGCCGCTTCACACCTCCGCTCCTCGGCTCCTCTCTGCTCCGCTATCCCCGGGTCCGTACTACTCCCTAGCGTGCGTGGATGGAAGCAGCCCGTAGCCCGCCAGCCAGAGCCCCAGTGCCGGTCCCGGGAGTGCTCGCTTACCCCCGCTAGGATGTGGAAAGTTGTGGCTAGCGGTGTCGTAGTTTTCCCAGGTCTATTCTGGGCGTTACGGAGACTCCTGCCTCGCGTGTACTGCCACTGGAACGATGCGGACGTGGTGCTTGTCAGCGAAAGGTAAAAAATAAATAAAAAATCCTGCACAGATACGATTCTTGCACGGACTCTACCCTGATCCACATGCATCCATCTGTGTCCTCTTTTATGCATGTTAAGATCTGCACCACGTGGTTTATTCTAAAGGTGTCGCAGTTGCGTTTTTGGTTTAAGCTAGTTTTTGGCTAGTTGTTTTGATAGCAAGCCCGTTAGCCGCTGCAAACTAGTCCATGCTAACTACCCGCCTGCTGTCACTGGGTTGCAGTCAGGAAAATTGATAAAAAACGTGCTGGTTTAATGAGATTTTGCTTTTGTGAGAGGTGTGAGAGATGGTTGGCACGTAATGTCAGACTGTACAATGAGAACTGCTGAGCCTGTACATGTCATTCATCCGCAAATTGAGTAAATACTGCAACTTCAGAATGTCACTTAATCTACCTTTTACCCTGACATATATGCATATAACTTGCACTATATATACTAAATATTTTGAAAGGTTAATTTTGAAGCATTTACAGCTAGCTAAGAACCATAGCAGCTACTTACTGTGTATATTTTGTGTGCTCTGTGTTTTACTACTGTCCTGTCTGTGCGCTGCAACATTGACATTTCCTCACAGTGGGGATAGAATAAAGGATCTCTTTAGGATTAGAACTGGGGTAAGTCAGGCTGAAGTTTGAGGCTTGGGTGTTGGTTAATTCCATTCATTTGTGTGAAAAGCAGTCAGATGCTTGAAAACACGTGACTGGGCTTTTCATCCAGCTCTGCTCTGACCGAGGTGCCTGGAGGACTGTAAACTGTCACTATAATAATAATAATAATAATAATATCATAAAAGGTGGACTGTATTCAATGGGGCTGGGCAGTTGCAGAAATGTGACTGTTTGATAGTATTGCGACATTTGATGTTTTATTGTAGGTTTCCTCCGGGTGCTCCGGTTTCCCCTACCACTAAAAACATGTACAATAGTTCAGGGTGAATTAGTGCGTGTTAGTGAGTGCGAATGTGCAATGACGGTTGATATTAGCCCAAGATACAATCCGGAGTGATGTGTTCATGAACGTGCACTGTCTTGACCAAATAAACAATAAATAACATTAATATTGTGATTCTTAACAAATCGCGATACAGACAGTATGTCATTCAAAGACTTTACAAACATGGAGGAAAATAAGACATCCATTTAATCCATTTCTGGGTCAGGGGGTGGCAGTCAGAGATGCCACCCAAGTCACATAGCACCAGCTTAAAATGAACCTAAGATGGAAATGACCAAAGAAAATTCAGAGAAGAAGAAATCATAATTTTATAACATATCACAATACTTTACTGTATCGATTTAACTGCGTGGGAAAAATACTGCGATATGTCGTCTCTGTATGTCATTATGATGTTCTTTCTTTGACTTTTCCGTCACCGTGTGGAGAGAACGGAACAATATCTGAACTCTGAACCTGGTAAAGTGCTTTGGGTGAGCTTGCTCCGTGAAATGTGCTATATCAATAAACATTACTTACTCAAACTCATAGAACAAATGATAGTTACCATAGCAACACACAGCATTTAGCTTTTTCAATGAACTGTTTTTGCTGCATTTCACTCGTTATATTAACCGGCTCTTGTTCAAAACCTTATAAATTACTATACATCTGGTGAAACATTTTATAAGAATTCTTTTGATTTGAATGAGAGCAGTCAAAATGACGGCTCGGCGAGGTCTAGTGTTCAAACCAATTTCAATGTGTTTGTTTCTCAGTATGACATAATCCTGAACAAAGCAGTTTGAAGTTTGAAGAATGGAAGAAACGCCAGCGACGACTGAAACAACAATAGTTAGTTTGTATCGCCCACGTCTAAACGCGGTCCACGGTGTCACTTTGGGTGGCCCTCTGCCTCGCTAACACAAACTAACTTTAGCATAACAAAAAGTATATAAAAGTAGAGATTTTAGTCTAGTTTAGAGTATAGGTCACGGCACGGTGGCTGAGTGGTTAACACTCTCGCTTCTCAGCAAGAACGTCCTGTGTTCGAATCCTTGTCGGAACAGGGCCTTTCTGAGTGGAGTTTGCATGTTCTCCCTGTGTCTGTGTAGGTTTCCTCTGGGTGCTCCGGTTTCCCCTACCACTAAAAACGTGCACAATAGGTCTGAATGTATGAGTGAGTGAAAGGATGGTAAAGTGCTTTGGGTGACCTTGGTCTGTAAAATGAGCTATATAAATAAACATTACTTAGAGAGAATGTTTCTGTCCTCACAATAGTTTTGATAATTCTTCTCCTTGTGCAACAGAAAGTTCCCTGATGCGGTCATGTGTCAGCTGTGTGTGATGTCACGTTATCAGGCCTTTTGCTGACACAGATGCTGTTTTAAACTTTGCTCCTGTTATGTGCAGAGACGCTAACCTGGCAAGAGCCAGATTGATGATTGTGTAGAACTCTAACGCGTTCTCCACGATATCAATCTGGGATTTCTCCCGGAGAATCCTTTCGGGGAAAGGAGGGATAAGCAGCAGAATACTTCAAGCTGATTGGGCGAAGTGACGCTGTGTGCCCGCCTACCAAGGTTGCCGTCCAGAAATGCACAAAGCGCCTCTCGCTGTTCATCTTTCAAAAAGGAAATTGGAGATTCTGCTAAAACTGACTTGATAGCCTCAGCTACGCGTCCGTCCTCCTGCGTAGCCATGTTTGTTTTGCTTCGGCCCGGCACTTCTTGCTTTCGTCAAACCCGGATATCCCGCCCTAAACCCCCAGACTGGCGCGTGATTGGCTCGCACACCCAGTGGTTCGACTCGAAAAGTGTAAGCGGGAGCGGTACAAGATGTATTCTCGAGTGTTTGTGAACTCACAAATACCGCGAGAATTCAGCTTGCAGGCAAGGTTACAGAGACGCCGTGATTAGCAGCAGTGCGACTCTCCACAGATGTGTTGTTGATGAGATACAGGTCGTTTCTCTCTGCTCAGCTGCTGCTAAAACATTCAACGGTTTTAATGAGAAATATCAGAATTGTGCAATGGAGGTTGTGATCATGTGAATGTTTGTTCTTCAGGTTCTGTAGAAAAGAAACTAAGTCATGGATCAGAACCAGTCTAAACCCGCTTTTCCCTCTGGGTTTAGAGTTGTCCTGTGAGGTCTTGTGAGGTCTAAAACAGGCATGTCTAACCTCAGGCCTGCGGGCTAGTTGCGGTCCTCTGTGATGATTAGTTCATAATACCTGAACAATTTTAGCCTGGTCGTACCACACCATAGTACAAATTACATTTCATTCTAAGGTCTGGATTTGCTCCATTGAGTCCGTTAACAGGTGGGAGGGGTTAACTCCTTTTGCAGACTGAAACGATTGGATCTGAGTTTACCGTGACATATGTAATGAGCCCTAGTGAGTCGTTAGCATTTAGCATTTAGCCTAGCTTTAGCCATCTCCTTTGCCGCTAACGGAGCCCGTGGGGAGTAGCGCCACAATCCTTGCCAGAGATTACATTTGCTAAACATTCCTCTTGCTCCGGCTTCAATTTCTTGATAGAACCAGACCGGACTACTTTACCATCGCATTCTTTGCCAAACTACAACCTGCCCGTTCGACGCAAACTCTTGACGTCCGACTGTCAACCGACTGTAATCGCAAACACAGGGACCAGACCCAGACGTTACATGCAGGAAATTATTGTTGACCGGAGTGTACGGATGGCTATGGCCAGGGTAGAACAATGTATACAGTAAAACAAAAATATCCAAATCTGCAGAATGGGATGAGACTGTATCAAATATTGTTGACAATGACTCTTCTAAGTCGTTACTGAACTATTGCTGTGTGTGTGTCTCTCGCTCTCTCTCTCTCTCTCTGTGTGTGTGTCTCTCTCTGTGTGTGTGTGTGTCTCTCGCTCTCTCTCTGTGTGTGTGTCTCTCTCTGTGTGTGTGTGTGTGTGTCTCTGTGTGTCTTTATCTGTATTACTCTATTATATTCTTTCTGTGTCTTAACCGTTGATTCTCTGATCTGATTCTGTTGTGATTTAGGGCTATAGGGTGTGTGTCTCCCTCTCTGTGTCTCTGTGTGTGTGTGTGTGTTGCCCTCTCTGTGTCTCTGTGTGTGTCTCTTTCTCTGTGTCTTTGTGTGTCTCATGACCACAGTCTAATGCACTCTGCTCTTCTTCTCTGGTTAATGCCGTTCGGTTTGTTTTTCTAATATTAGCCGAGGACGAGAGGAAGTGGCATCAATCGAAGCATCCTCTAAGAACGCTGTATCAGGATCTCAGGAGGCCGGTTTATTTGTATAACACAGTTCATACACAAGGCAACACAACGCTTTATCAGAGCTGATAGATACAATACAAAGCATTAAAGCATTGGCCTTAAGCCCAGAAGGTTGTGGGTTCAATTCCCACCTCTGCACCTTCTCCACCGACTCCCACTGATGACTGCTGTCGTTGTGTCCTTGGGCAAGACACTTAACCCCACTTTGCCCAAAGCCCCCACTGAAAGATCAAGGCTATGCTCACACTCACCACCTGCAGAGGGTCAGTGAGGGGCTGGTGCTATGAGACTTGGGTGGCATCTCTGACTGCCACCCCCCTGACCCAGAAATGGATTAAAGGGTAGAAGATGGATGGATGGATGGATGGATATATTTTTTTTCCCAACACTCAATAACGATATTGTCACGATATGTTTCAGATCAATAATTTTTACACAATGATCTGCAAATGTTTTTCTTGCCAGGGAATCTATTAATGGAAATAGCAGCTTTTTATTTGTGAAGTCCTTCACACATCTTTGCAAAACATGCACAAACTTTCTAACATTAAAATTCAAGTAACACGGGAAGAACACATTCAAAAAGACTCAATATTTACTGAAATTTACAAATAAAGCAGTGACTGGCTCTTTAGGCATTTGACGAATGGGCATCTTGCTCTAATTGTATTACGTATTGGAGACTTGAGATTTTTTTCTTTCATTGACGATAATGTGAAAGAGCACATCTTCAAATGTACTTTCGCGATATCGTCTACAATATATATCGCCAAC